ACCTGCAGGGCCGGGCTGGGTCCGGGCTGGGGAGCCGGGGACCAAGGACCGGGGACTCTGGGGACCGGGGACCTGGGACCCCGGTCCGGGGGACGGGGGGCCGGAGACCGGGGACCCGGGGCCGGGGACCGCGGGGACCGGGGACCCGGGGTGCGGGGCCCGCCATTGTGGCGACGGAGGGCGGCGGCGAACCCAGAGATCCGACGCTCTGAAAAAACCGGAGCGGGCGGTTTGAAGCCGTTTTCAGCCTCGGGGGGCCCTCGCCGGGCCTCGGGAGCTTCAAAACTATAGCCCCAGGGACGTTGTCCAAACCTCTGGGGTCCACGCATCGAAAAATTGGAGCAGCCGGATGTCTGGGAAGGGCCCCCCATGCACGGTCGAGCCCTGCACGGAACGGACAAGCCGATCGGGCCCAGCAACCGTCGCCAGAAAGCCAACGCCTGCGCAAGGAAGGGCCCCGCGGGTGCGCAACCGCGGCGGCCCATTGGGGCGGCCTCGACACCAGACGCCCCGTCGGGGCCGAGCAGGGCGGCGGCGGCACCGAGGCAGCCGCGCGGGGCGCCGCTTCAGGGACAACGGGGCTCTCGGTGCTCTTGCGCCTCTTTGTTGCGTGTCCGGGCGCCTGAGGAGGCCTCTGGGCACCACCAGAGACCTCCAGGCGACCTCCGAGGGCGGGAGGACCCGGGACCCCCGTGACGACTCCTCACCCTCCACTCGCCAGTGACGGGTCCTGCGGCGCTGCCCGCGCGGAAGGCCCCCGGCGGCGGCATGACGGCCCGCATCGAGGAGGTCGCTGGAGGCAAAGGCCTCGCGCGACGAGGGCGCGCAGAGCTGCTCGGCGGCCACGGGCAAGGGCGCGAGGGCGATCATAGCCACAGCCGAGCGCGCTCCAATCGCGGCGCCCATGTGAGCGACGGAAGAGACGGGATCGACCTTACGAGGTGGCTCAAGCAGGCCGCAAACGCGGCACGCAACGCAAAGAGAGGGCGCTCGCGAGCAAGATCACGCGGGCAGCTTACGCGCGACTGCCCGCACGGCCGACCTCCTTCTTCGTTTCGTCGCTCGTGTGCTTGCGGCAAGCGAATACGACCGCCGACGCCGCGGACGGCGCGAGGAAGCTGGCGGAGGCCTACATGTGACTGCGGAGGAGCACTGGAACTTCACAAGACAATTCGGGGATCTTCTGACCTGGGTCAATCCAGACCCGGGTCAGCCAGGCCTTGCAGAATCCTGCAAAATCCTGCAAGATCCTGCACCCAAGCCCGGGTCAATGCGAAAGATCCTGCAAGATCCTGCAGGATCCTGCACCCAAACCCGGGTCAAGGCGAGCCTGGCCTTGCAGGATCCTGCAAGAGCGGGCGCTCGGGCTGACCGCCGTTTGCATTGACCCCCGTCTCAAGGCTCCCGAACAGTGCTCGGCCAGGGCACCGGGCCGTCGTTCCAGTGGCGGGCCCATCGCGCGCCTGCGCGGACATACTTACTTACTTACTTACTTACTTACATACATACATACATACATACATACATACATACATACATATATATATATATATATATATGTGCCGCGTGGTCCGGTGGTTCCGGGCAGCGGCGGCCGAGGCGGCCTCCGCGGGCGCAGAATTGTATTAGAAGGCAAAACGCCACAGACATAAACTGTTGGCGCTCCTCGCGGATTTCTTAGCTCATCATCATCGCTCCTCCACTCCTCCTTCTCCATCCTCTTCTCCTTTCGCCTCCTCGCTCACTATGATACATCCCCCCTCACGCATCCCCGTACTGTGTCCCCTCCTCCCTCCTGCTCCTCCTCTTCCTCCTACTCCCCTGGACCCTACCACACCCCATGCCAGCTTCGAATCCCCCTCTCCTGCGGCAGGTCCACGTCTCGATGCCATGGGCACTGCTTCTTGACACTGTAACCGCGTGGACCGCATAACCTTGAACAATCGCGGCCTTCCAAAAGCGCAGATCCATCGATGCCGGCCGATTCGAGGCCGCTGGCGACTTTCCATCCACATACGCCTACCATACTAGAAGAAGAATAACAGAAATACATAAACATTATTTGGGCGCTCCGCACGGATTTCTTGGATCCGCGCTGTGCCCCCCTCCCTGGCGCGCTCCGCGCTAGGGGCGGCGCCAGAGGCGCCGCCAGGGGGCTCCCAGCGCGGATCCGAGAAATCCGCGCGGAGCGCCCCAACTTTATGTTTATGTGTGTCTTTTTCTCGTCTTCGACCTAATTGCACGACCCGAACCTGCCATACCCGACCTCGCTCGGCCGATCCTCCCGCGTCGCTGGGCGGGGGAGCGGTCCGCAATCTCGTCCCGCTGCATCGCCAGCGTCTGGTTCGCGTGCTGCGCCGCGGACGGGCTCCTGCCGGCGGCGTCCATCGCCTGCAGCTCCTGCGCGGCCCCGTCGACACAGGAGGGGGGAGGGAAGGGGAGGAGGAGGAGCCTTAGCGGGCTGACTGTGCTCAACGTGTCTCTCTTCGCCCTTCCTGCACCTGCTGCGCGCACACAAAGGTCGAGCTCGTCAGCTCCATCACCCGACTCGGATCACGCAATTCCTGCGATCAAAAGATCAGAGCCGGCGCAACTGTAAAAGAAAGAGGCTCTCTGGCTAGGGCTCTTGGGATCTATGAGCCGCGCGAGAGCCACTGAGAGGCCCCACGCTGCACGAGGAGGAGCAAGAGCGAGAAGAGGTCGGAGCGGGGGAGGGAGAGGGCAAAGGGGGAGGCGAAGGGAGAGGGCGAAGGGGGAGAGGGCGAAGGGCGAAGGCAAAGGGCGAAGGGGGAGGCGAAGGGGAAGGGAGAGGGCGAAGGGGGAGGGCACCGGGAGGATGACGGGGGCAAGAACTTGGGGGCAGGGGGGGGGGGGGGAAAGGGGAGGGCTGGGCCAGGTGCTGAATCGCAAGAGCGCGGTGTTGTTGTAACCTCTGATGGGCCTGTTTTCCACTACCACCACCATCAGTTGGAGGGGGGAAGGAGGAGGAGAGGAGGAGGAGGAGGAGGAGGAGGAGAAGGAGGAGGAGGAGGAGGAGAAGGAGGAGGAGGAGAAGGACCCCCTCACCCTCCAACTTATGGTGGTGGTGGTGGAAAACATGACCATCAACCTCTGGGGGGGGGGGGGGACAAATTAGCGACAACCGTTGGTGGCCGTTCGGGGACTTCGTGCACGTGGGCTGTCAGAGCTTGGCGGCGCGCGCAGGGGGATAGAGGGGAGAGGAAAGGCTTCCGAGAAGAAGGCTGCCTCTAAGAAGGCGCCAGCCGCCCTTCTCAGAAGCCAGGGGCGCGCCGCTACTTAGAAGCACCCCAGCGGCTTCTTAGAAGCACGGAACAACTTCCATCAACAAGCACAGATTCTTAAAATGAAGCCACCCGCTTCTTAGAAGCACGCCGTAAACAAACTTCTAAGAAACAACCATCAGCTTTGTATCAGAATGGGGCGCCCGCACCTTCTAAACAGGGGGGGGTCTAAGAAAACAAGTTTTCCCCCTCCAGCCACCACCCTTTGCACGTGGCTGAAGATAGCCATATCCACTGTCCCCTGCGCAGGTAACCAAAGTATGGATGATGCAGGATATGCAAACGGTTGGTATTCTCGCGACGGGGCTGCACATATACCATGGAGGGTCTAGCAAAAGACGGAATCGGATGCTGGGCTGAATGTTCATGTGCCGGGTTGAGAGGACACGCGGGTGCGAGGGGAAAGACGGAAGCTCTTCATGGTCTGTCTCTCGTTGTAAGCTCAAACAAGGCCAAAAATCAAAACAAAAAACATGAAGCTTGCGCAGCTCCCTCCGCGTTGTCTTCCCCCTCCACCCTTCCTATAGAATGCCTTCGCGATCATTCAGAGGGATGGGCAGACCCCAAAAAACTGATGTTGGGTTCGGGGACTTATTGGAAAGAGGCGTCTTGGCAGGTGCAGGCGATTTCTCTTTGGCAGACTGAAACGGAGCCCGAACTACATCCTCAGTCATTCAACGCATTGGCCCCACGCCCTCGACGCCCGCCCTCCTCGCGTGCAATCGCACCCCCCTTTGGGGCATGTCTTGCCCACCAGGTCGTGTGCAGTTGGCGCTGCCCCCAGAACAGGGGATGGGGAGGGGAGGAGGCTGGACAACGAGAGGGAGCAACAGGAAAGGGGTTAGGAGCAGAAGAACAACAAGCGGCAGAACCACGCGGGCGGTTCGGGCGGGCGGACCCTGACAAACGGGCGCGTCGGGCGGGCGGGCCCGCACGGCCGGGTCGAGCGGGCGGGCAGCTGGAGCGTCAGTGCTGCATGAATCGCGCGGAATTCTCGGACGATGGCGCGACTCCAAAGGAAATCCTGAGACGGTCCAAAGCGGGAGCGCGATTCCTGAATGTCGAGGGGGCGGCGGTTCGATAAAATGCGCAGAAGTCCAACGCGAGAGCGAGATTCCTGAGTCGATCGTGAGGAGATTCCGCGCAAGAGCGCGATTTAGAATAAACCGCGAGGGGTCGTCAAGCGGAAGCCGTTGTTGTTACAGTTCGGGGGCCAAGGGCGCAGTCTGACGCGCAAGACGATCCCCTGCGAAAACCAGAGCGCGAGCCCCAGGAGGCTCGAACAAAAACATGCTGTGGGAGTGCTGGCACCCGCGCGCAAATCAACAGGCATGCAAGCATACTGGCATCTGTCCAAAACGCAGGCGGCAGAAACAAGGAGCACCCGCAAAAAAACGGGCAGCAAACATGTACCCTTCACGAATCCCCCAAAAATAATGCAAAATATGCGGTACAAACTATGTGGTGTAAGCTGTGTGGTGCAAACTGTGTGGTGCAAGCTACGTGAGGCAAGCTGTATGGTGCAAACTATATGGAGCGTGGCGCAATCTACGTGGTGAAGGTTACGTGATGCAAGCTATGTGGTACAAGATATGCGGTGCAAACTATGGGGTGCAAGCTATGTGGTGCAATCTGCGTGGCGCAATCTAGGTGGTGGAAGCTATAGATTGCAAGCGACATGGTGCAAGCAATGTGATGCGAACGATATGATGTAAGCTATGTGGTGCAAACTATGTGGTGCAAGCTATGGGGTGCAGGCTATGTGGAGAAGCTATGTGGTGCAAGATATGTGGTGCAAAGTACGTGATGCAAGCTCTGTGGTGGAAGCTATGCGGCGCAAGCTGAACGCGATGTGGTGCAAGCTATGCGGTGCAAGCTGTGTGGTGCAATATACGTGGTGCAAGCCACGTGATGCATAGCCCTGCAAATTATTGTAAAGCAATGTGAAGCAATGCAAACTATGTGGTGGAAACTATGTGGTACAATCTACGTGTTGCACGTAAATATCTGGGAGTTCAGTCACATTGGAAGACTCGTAAGATACCCTAATTGCAGGCACTGCGGGGAATGAAACGTCTGAGTATGAACAAGGCTGAGACGGAGTGGGAAAATGAGTCAGAGCGGAGGCGGAGGCGTCATACGAAGAACAAGAAACCCCTACTTGGAAGATTAAGAGAGCGTGGGTTCCGGTGTGAGCGAGGCAGTGCTTGAGCGAGCCTGAATGTGAGTGACCTCAAGAGTGTGCAGCTCTGGGTGCGAGTTGCTTAGCAGGAGTGGGTATGGGGATGGGTGCGATTGGCAGTGGGAGGGAGGAGGCGCGATGAGCGAAGCGGAGGGGTCTCACGAATCTTAAGTCGGGCGTGTCGCCCTACAGGGGGATTTTCGACGGAAAATAAAAAATATTCAAAAAATACCCCAACATGGTCAAAAAAATACTCAAAGAATAGACCCCATACTATTTTTTACTATGTTTGAATATTCCCCCTGTAGAGGGACAGGCCCGGCTTAACACGAATCACAAGAACGCCACACTCAGGACGTGGGGAAAACGCTGCGCGTGCCCATTGCCCGACCCCGCGATGCATCAGGGAGGCGACAAGACAGGGGAAGGTGCTTGGGGAAGTCAGCACGCAGATCGAACCAGCGGGCCCTCCAGAAGGGTCAGGAACCATCTGGCTAGCAAAACTAGCCTCAAACAAAAAAAACATCCAGTCAGCAAGTACGCAGGCATTGCATCATACCCAGCCCCAGCCCCCGTTCAGCCAACATGAGAGAAAACAACTTCGAACGTCAATCCGAGCGTCTCAGACCACAACCCGAGGGGCAAGCCATGCGAATAGAACATAAACGCACGAATTTCGAAGACTGAATGGTTAAACCAAATGCTCCACTCGTGGTCTAGGCGTCCACATGGTATGATGCATTGTGACAGCTACACATGTCTTATTGCGCGCGCATGAGCGCGTACACTCACACGCGTGCGCCATACAAAAATATACGAACCTCCATGTGGAATGGCCATCTTGACTTCAAACAGGGAATCATGACAACTAAGCGTTTCAATCATGTAACCCGACATGCTCAAACACATTACAAAACTACATCGGCTTCGGTATTGCACGTGCGTATGCGCGTATGCGCACGCGCAAGCGCTCTCGCGCGCGCTGAACCAACATCATCTGGCAGTGGCCAATGTAACTTCGAAGACTGACTGCTGAAAACCAATTGCTTCACACTCGTGTTCCGAGGGCCTCAGCATGATAGAATCCATTGTGGCACTGTGCGTGTGGCAAAGCCATGCTTGTGTTGCCCGCGCGTGCGCGCGCAACAAGAGAAAAGTGCATTCGCCACACTACATAATTTCAGATGGAGGCCCTCAGAGTGCGTGTGGAACAGTGTTTGCACCATTCAGCTGTCGAACTTCGGTTGGCTATTCTCTATTGACTTGTTGTATTGCGCACGCGAGAGCGCGCGGGATAAGAAAGGTGCTGTCGTACCATATTTTTGTATTTCATGTAAATGGTACACGTGGTGTCCACCATTCAGCGTTCGAAATCAGGTCGGCCATGGCAAGTTGACTTGTTGCACCACACACACACGCGCGCGGGCGCGTCCGCGCGCGCAATACAGCAATAATGTGTTCTCGACAAACGCCTGCGGGAGGCAGGGCCCAGAGACACAAGTACGGGATCACAGAAGCAGGCTTGGGCGTCGCTTCATGGGGGGGGAGACAGGTGCACTGCTCGGGCGCTTCATGAACACATCAAAAAGCGACCCCCGCCCCCCACACGAGGAACTTTAGACCAAGTCGACGGCAGTGGCCTCGCTTACAGGGCGCCTACACAGGCGCACATCCGCCAGAATGGCAGTAAGTTGACATCACAAATCACTGGTTGTGGGGGCTGGGGTCGGTTTCCCACCGTTCACTGAAGGCACCCTTTTGTGAAAGAGCCCTGGAACACGCAAATAAATACACACAAATAAAAACATTCCCCATATTTTCCCATATGTTCTGGGTTTTTGTCACATCTTTTCCCATACTTTCTGGGGGGTCGACGATCAATTGTGTCTGTGTGTTTTTTTCCCTCCTGACTTTGGGCCCTACAGGGCCCCTTGAGGGGCCCAGCAGGGCTCCTTCTCTGCAGCCTTCCACCGCCCCCTCCCCCCTTTGCTCGCCCCCCTCCCTTCCGCGACGCGGGGACAGGACGCCGGCCGCGCCCCGCCGACGCCGGCCGCCGCCGACGCCCTCGCGGTCGCCGTCGTCCTCGCAGGTCGCCGCCGGTCGTCGTCGTCGTCGTCGTCGCCGTCGTCGTCGTCGTCGTCGTCGTCGTCGTCGTCGTCGTCGTCGGTCGTCGTCGTCGTCGGCATCCTGCGCCGTCCGCTCGTGCTTCAGCGAGTTGATCTCGCGCCGCAGGTCGTTGATCTCGCGGATCAGCGAAACGTTCTCCTGAGAGGCGGTCCTTTCTTTCCACAGCGGCCCTCTGCAGGAGAGCCCAGGATCGAATTGAGAAGCCAGATCGGCGATCGAAACAAATCGGATCGGCGGAAATCGGCAGCCGAGTCGGGAAGAGTCGGATCGGCGGAAATCGGCGGGCCAGTGGGCCTCCATGGAGAAATCGGAGCCCAAATCGAAAGCCGGAATCGAATCGGATCGGAATCGGGAGCCATCGAGATCGAATCGAATCGAATTTGAGGCATCGAAATGAGCCCTCGTCTGGCTCATGGCCTGCACCCTTCCGTCAGTCACACGGGACGTCAAGGACATGCTAGTACGATGTGTCCTCCTTGGAGACGTGCGTCCGACCCGATCATGTAGCACGTCCGTCCTGTGGTACACAGTTTCCCGAGCGGCACGGTCAGAAAGCGCCCACCACGGAGCTTAACCATACTAGAAGATTTCTCGGTGCGCACTTCGCCCCTGGGGGGTGGGGGGGTGGGGGGCGACGCACATAGACGAGCGCGTTCCACTACTGGCAAAGTGACTACTCGCAAATGGCCTGGATCCGTCGTGGGGGATCTACGATAAATGGCATCGAAGCAGACGTGTGGTTCTTCGGACGTTTGCGAGTCGGCACTTTGCGAGTAGTGGAACGCGCTCGGTGAGCACACATGGTATCAGTACGTCGGTGTGACGCCGATGCGCCCTGCTCTGCCTCGTCGCCTTGCGCGCTGCCGGTCGGCGGAACGCCCACCCGTCCACCTCCGCTCCTGGACGAGCGCGTCCAAACTACTCGCAGGTCAACTGCTCGCGAGTGGCCTGGATCCCCCGCGGGGAACTTACTATATCGACAAGGACCGACCACAACGATGTTTAAAACGCGCTGGTGTTTAGAACGAACACAGCATTTAACCCGACCGTTGTACAACGAACGATTGCGTTTGACCCGACCGTTTAAAAAGCGTTGGCGTTTAAACGACAAGAGGTCTTCCTCTGTGTTGATACAATATCGACACAGAGGAAGACCTCTCTTTTTTCAGACGTTTGCAAGGAGGCACTCTGCGAGCAGTGAGACGCGCTCGGCGAGGGAGGCTTCCCTCCTGCTCACCTGTTGCCGCCGGCGCGCGCGGCTGGCGTTAGGTCGGGCGTGTCCCCATTCAGGCGGAGTTTGGACGAAACCTAAACAACACCCAACAAATTCTCAAAAATACTCAAGAACAGTGGAAATTTCGTCCCCATACTATTTTGACTATTTTTGGAGATTCCTCCTGTAGAGGGACGTGCCCGACGTAAGGCTGGCGAGACGCCCACAAAAGGGGGGCCCTCCTGCATGATGCGCGTGTTGTCGATGCGGTGGGCCTCGCTATCCTCGGCGGCGGTGAGGGGAGGGGAGGGGGGAGGGGGAGGGGGAGGGGGAGGAGGAGGAGGAGGAGGAGGAGGAGGAGGAGGAGGAGGAGGAGGAGGAGAGGAGGAGGAGGAGGAGGAAGAGGAGGAGGAGGAAAGAAAGGAGGAGGAAGAAGAGGAGGAGGACGAGGAGTAGGAGAGGGACGAGAAGGAGGAGGAGGAGGAGGAGGTGAGGGAGGAGGAGGAGGAGGAGGAACGAGAGAAAGAGGAGAAGGAGGAAAGGTGAGAAGGAGCAGGAGGAGGAGGAGGAGGAGGAGGAAAGGGAGGAGGAGTAGAAGGAACAACAAGAGGAGGAGGAAAGGAAGGAGGAGGAGGACGAGGAGGAGGAGGAAAGAGCGGAAGGAGGAGGAGACGGAGGAGGAGGAGGAGGAGGAGGAGGAGGAGGAGGAGGAGGAGGAGAGGAGGAGGAGAGGAGGAGGAGAAGAGGAGGAGGAGGAGAAGGAGGAGGAGCAGGAAGAGGAGGAGGAGAGGGAGGGAGGAGGAGGAGGAGGAAGATAGGAGGAGGAGGAGGAGGAAACAGGAGGAGGAGGAGGAAACAGAGGAGGAGGAGGAGGAGGAGGAGGAGGAGAAAAGGAGGAGAGGGAGGAGGAGAAGAGAGAGGAGGAGGAGAAGAAGGAGGAGGAGGAGCAGGAAGAGGAGGAGGAGAGGGAGGAGGAGGAGGAGGGAGGAGGAGGAGGAGGAAGAAAGAAGAGGAGGAGGAGGAGGAGGAGGAGGAGAGGAAAGAGAGGAGGAGGAGGAGGAGGAGGAGGAGGAAGGTAGGAGGAGGAGGAGGAGGAGGAGGAGGAAAGGGAGGAGGAGGAGGAGGAGGAAACAGAGGAGGAGGGGAAGGAGGAGGAGGCGGAGGGGAGGAGGAGGAGGAGGAGGAGGAGGAGGAGGAGAGGAAGTGAGGGAGGAGAGGAGGAGGAGGAGGAGGAGGAGGAGGAGGAGGAGGAGGGAGGAGGAGGAGAAGAAAGTGAGGAAGGAGGAGGAGGAGGAAGAGGAGGAGGAGGAAGTGAGGGAGGAGGAGGAAATGAGGGAGGAGGAGGAGGAGGGAGGGAGGAGGAGGAGGAGAGAGGAAGGAGGAGGAGGAGGAGGAGGAAGGAGGAGGAGAGGAGGAGGGAGGAGGAGGAGGAGGAGAAGAAAGTGAGGAAGGAGGAGGAGGAGGAAGAGGAGGAGGAGGAAGTGAGGGAGGAGGAGGAAATGAGAGGAGGAGAGGAGGAGGAGGAGGAGGAGAAGAAGAGGAGGAGGAGGGAGGAGGAGGAGGAGGAGGAGGAGGAGGAGGAGGGGGACGGCGGAGAAAACCACAGCGTGCCCCCGCTCGGACGGCCGTTCCCTGTGAAATGTTTCCGGCTTCGGGCGTGTGTGTTCTCTGCTCGATGATGCAGGATGCGCCTCGATGGTCCTCGCCGAGAACACATGCCCGCGTCCCAGCGACGCCAAGACAAAGGACGGCAGAGGGCAGGTTCTGCACCGGGGTACCCAGATCGAGGTTCGGGGTACGAGTCCCTGGCGGTTTTTGAAGCCATCTGGGGCATCTGGGGGCTTCTGGGTGGCCGTGGCTGGCTTCGCCCCGGAAGTTCTGGCCAGGGCGCAGCCCGGGACGGGCCCCTGGGGTCGGTCTGGAAGGCAGGCACGGTCTGGCAATCGCATGAGCAGCAAAGACAAGCCAGCCACGCAGTCTTGTGACCACCCACCTTCGGCCGACGTCTCGCTTTCGTCGGGGCGTGGCGCACCCAATCCCCAAAGTGGCGTCCAGAGTCTCCCACGGAGGGGGGGAGGCAGCAAAAGCAGGGTAGAGGGGAGGCGACATCAGCGCCCTTCCGCACGACAGCAGTGCTACACCACGCCCACTGATCTTGCTGCCTGATTGAGAAGATCAACCGGCCCCGTGGCCAACCCCTGGCGGATGGTGCCATAGGAGGTATCAGAAGGGTGCACAGTCGCACGACGCTTACACTGGAATCTGCGCCGTCGTGTCATGAAAACCTGTTTGTGCACCACTCAACTGTATCCGCCACCGTGCCCCTGTGGCACGAAGTGGAGTGTCCCCAGGTCCCTTGCTCGTCCCCTGAGCCCCAGTCCTCAATCCTGAGGATTCTTTAGAAGGGCCGGACCCCTAATTGCCGGAATTCCTTTTGGCGTGGCAAGTATTCCCACATTACTTTTCGGGGGCCAAAGGGTCCCCAAGACGGGCCAAAAGACCCCCAAGGGCTGGTCCAGACGATGCGAGGGCGCCCCGAATCGCTACACGTTCAGTCCAAGACGCTCGAGGTGGCTCCAAGATGGCTCAAGGAGCCTTCGAGACGCATCCCAAGAGACCCAAGAGACTCCCCAAGAGGGCCCGGAGAGGCCAAAAGTATTGATGCTTCCGTGTGTCTTCAATATGTTCGGGGCTCTCGACTTTCGAGCTCCCGACGCTCCATGACGGCCCAGAGAGAGCCCCAAGAGAGCCCCAAGAGGCCCCGTAAGAGGGCCCCAAGAGGGCCCCAAGACGGCTCCAAGACGGCCAAAGAGGCGCCCAATGCGGCCCCAGAGGGCCCAGAGACAACCCCCAGGGCCCCAAGAGGGGGGACGTGAACCGAACACTCGTGCCCTCCGCACGGAGAGGCCCACAGGAAGGCCCCAGGGGCCCAAAGCAGGCCTCCAGAGGCCGCGGCCTCAAAACGGCTCCCACAGGGCCTCAAACCTGCCTCCGCGGGGCCTTCGTGAGGCCTCCCGCGACATCCCAACGAACATCGTAGAGGCCTACACACGACCCACAGCCCAGGTACGGTGGCGGGATGGCCCGAATGCTATGAGACACTGATCGCTTCACAGAACGCGGCGCATGATGACCGACAGAGGGGGGTAAGAGGAAGAAAAGCGGGGCAGTATTGGCAACTGAGGTGTAGCACTCCTGCTACCAGCCAGCCCTTTCCAATTTAACAAGTGTTCGACCCCGTCACGCCGCCAAAGCTCCAGCTGCGCTGCCTCAAAGGAGAATCACCGCACGCGAGCTGTGGATCATAGGCGACGAAGCCTTGACACCATCGAGAGGGACGGGGGATAGAGGAGAACAGCTAAGGCAGGAAGGGGAGAGGGAGAAAAACGAAGAGACGGAGAGCAAGCAAACTGGCACGGGACCCGCACACCCATCACAAGCGCGCCGAGCCCAGCGACGCGCGGACCGTCCTTCTCCAGCTTCCGCTTCAGCGAGTCCACAGACTTCTCGAGGTAGTCGCGCTGGCGGTTGTACTCCTAGGTGGCGGGAGATGGTTGCGCGGGTGGTGGTTTATAGGCGCAGTGTCGGTTAGTACGTGGTGGGTGGCGGGTGAGTGACGGGTGGTGGATGGGTGGCCGAAAAGTCGTGGGAAAGCGGTGGGTGGTGCGTGGTGGGTGGGTGGTCCGTGGTTGGTGGGTGGTGCGTGCTGGGTGGTGGATGGTGGGTGGTGGGCGGTGGGTATGCAATCGGTGACTGCCTCTCCCCCGCTCCTCAGCACCAGCAGAGCTGGGCGGAGCAGGTTTGGGCTACGCAGGGTCATGCCCCTCTGCAGCAAATGGAGAACGGACTTCTGCAGAACCTTCTCGTCCTTTCTATGATCCTCCTTCTCCGCCGCACCCTCTTCCTCCTGCATCCTACTTACCTTCCTCTGACTGTTTGCTCCTAAACATTTCCAACCTCATCATCGTCCTCATCTTCCTCAACCTCGTGCACATCCTACTCCTGCACCCCATTGTTCTATTCCTCCCTCTCCTCATTCCCCCTCCTCCACTTCCTCCGCTCATCCCCCCTCCACCTCCCATGTCACCCCTCTCCTCATCCGTCGCCCTCGTCTCCTTGTCACCATCCCTCCTCCTCCTCCTCCTCGCCCTCCTCCCACTCCTCCTTCTCCTCCTCCTTCTACACACCCTCCTCCCCTCGCCCATATATCTTACAGCACCTCCCCTGCGATCCGATATGCACAATGACTGAAAGCAAAGAGTCACAATAATTCGGAGATGCTGGCCAACGATCCTTCTGCATGTCCGTGTTCAGATCCAATTTCTTACCTCCGGCCTGTACGTACTTGCGGTACAGCCCTGTGACACTCTCCTTGCGGCAGGCAATTTGAAGCAAACGGGAAACACACAGCCCAACATGCAGGAAACACGCAGAGGAGATGAGACCTGGTGCGACAGAAACCTTGCATGCAAGCATACGCACATGAACTAATGAACGCATACACAAAAAGCACGTGCGCGTGCTCGCGCAACTACCACGCGAAAACATCAAGGCGTACACACATACACAAATGACGTGCATTGCATGCATACATGCATACACACGCACGCAAGTCTACTACGTAGGTAGGACGCCTTCTGAAACAGCAGATGGCACACACACAAGCACACAAACGAAAGCACACACGGCTGCCAGCAAAGCGCAAGCATCGAGCCCGCGTGTAGGCACACGCTGTTTGAGCGGTCGCGGCCTCGCGCGCAGCGTCGAGGCGGAGAAAAGACTGGTCTGGTGCGCGAACGGCTGGGCCCTCAAAGGGACCTCCGCAGATTCCGTGTGCGCCACCAGTAGCAAACCGCACAAAAGCACAGGCACACAGCACACAGCACACACACACACACACACACACACACGCGAACGCACGCACGAGCGTATACACTCGCAACTTCCTCCTCTTCCTCGTCCTCCTCATCTCCATCCCTGAAACTCACGCCCCCCCCCTTCTCTGCTGTGCTTTCCCCGTGGGCTCCTCCCCCCCCGTCCCTCTCCTGCCTCCCCCCGGTCGCACCACCAGGACGTCCTCGTGGGTCGGGCGTCGAGCACGAGGACGTGCTTGCAGCTCACAGGGCGGAGGGGCCCCGTGTTCGACATCCGGCTCCCGCCTTAGCGCCCCGCACGTCGAAGGTGATATGTCCAACGGCTATAACGATTGATGGGCTTGTTTCCACCACCACCACCATAAGTTGGAGGGGGAGGGGGTCCCCCTCCTCCTCCTCCTCCTCCTCCTCCTCCTCCTCCTCCTCCTCCTCCTCCTCCTCCTCCTCCTCCTCCTTCCCCCCTCCAACTTATGGGGGTGGCGGTGGAAAACAGGCCCATCAACGATGGAGCGCCCGTTGGGCCTGTGGCTACCAGAGTGCGGTTTGTTCGCCTCCTGCCGCGCGCACGTACGACTTGCAAGCGCTGCATCGTTTTAGGAAGTAGAGGACGAGTGGTCTTCGAAAGGCGGCTCTCGCCGCAGCGCCGTACACAGTCAATCAAAAATATGCCAGCTGCTAAAATTATGGAGACCAATGCGTTTTCAGAATGCGAGTACAGCTTGAAACTGCCTCAACTTCTAAGACAATAAATAAGAAATCCCAAATCGTGCAACCGCTATACGGATTGAGCACGGCTTCCGCGGATGCTATTGCCAGAACTTTGACAGTATGCAAAACTTACACGGGTGGAGTCTGATCCCTTCCCGAACAAGAATGTCGCTGGACAGTTCAGTGACCCCTCGGTCGGAAGAAGTAGGTAGAAACATGAGGTGGGAAGGCGTTGAAGTAGATTGGGTCTCCGCCCGCCCCCTGAAGAGGAGGGAAGGCGAAGCCACTTGATCATCAGCAGCTGCTTGGAATCGGAGACTCCAAACATACCTACTGTGAACGACCGATGGGTGAGCACCGTACCTGTTCGCGGTTCCCTCCTGGCCATCGCTCGGACGTCCATTCCCTGTGCTTTTTTCGGTCTCGTGCGTGGCTGTTTCGCCAGATGATCAAGGGAATGCTCCTCGATGGTCCTCGCCGAAGGAAAACTGCACACGCCCGAGCGATGCCAAGCTATAGGGGCAACCAGCAGCTCGAACTCGCTGTGCACGAATGTGAGCGGTGAACGGCGAAGAAGAGTTTGTCCTAGAGGCGCGTGCACTCCGAGCCCGTACCCTCCGGGCAAACATCTCGGGGTCCTCGATCCTCCTCCTCCTCCTCCTCCTCCTCCTCCTCCTCCTCCTCCTCCTCCTCCTCCTCCTCCCGCCTTTATGCCCACGCTCCATGCCCATCCTCTCTGTCCGCCGCCCCCTCGGCTCTGCGGCCGGCCCGTCCTCCCCCTTGACGCTGCAGCTGCCCAGACGTCGGCAAAGAGTGGCCAGAGCATTCAACTGATAACACACACATAGGCAACTTGCAACAGCAGCAGCGGCAGATAAAGACGAAGGCAAAAGGACACAGGGAGAGCAGCAGAGAAGATCGCAAAGGCGCGTGTATGTGGTGCGAGCTGTAATGAGCTGGAGTAGAACCAATGGGAGCAGAATCGAAACTAGAATAGATCATCCGAATGCAGGGGTGCATGACCTCTTGGGCTGCAGCACGCAGGAGAGGGGACAGCAGGAAAAGGATACATATAGGACGGCAGAGAGCAACGCAGGAGTGGAGGAAGGTCAGAACCGCCAATGGGTGACAGTGATGGCGCTGCCAAGGCAGATCAACCCTAGCGAGTGCTAAGGGCGGACAGTAATGGGGCTGGTGTAGACTGAAAGTAAGCAGGCTGGTGCAGGTTGACCAGTCCTAGTGAGTGGTATGGGATCGCCCATTCGGGGCCTCGGTGCAGGTGTCCTCCTCCTCCTCCTCCTCCTCATCGTCGTCGTCGTCGTCCTCACCACCACCACCACCGCAACAACCTAGCATAATCGTCATCATCATCACCATCATCAGCATCATCATCATCATCATCATCATCGTCATCATCATCATCATCATCATCATCATCACCATCATCATCATCATCATCATCATCATCATCATCATCATCATCATCATCATCATCATCATCAGCTCAACATCATCATCATCATCATCATCATCATCATCATCATCATCATCATCATCATCATCATCATCATCATCATCGCCATCATCAGAATCATCATCAACATCATCATCATCATCATCATCATCAACAGCATCATCATTATCATCACCACCATCATTATCATCATCAGCATCATCATAACCCTAAATTTCTAATCCTATAATTATTAAACCCTGACTACTACAAAACCGGTCGTCATGCAAGCCCACTCCATCTATTGTAAAAAATAGCATTTGCTGAGCATGCGTGCAGAATCTTTTGTATTTTACACTACAAAGTGCCCGGTCCCCGTTGCGACCCGGCTCCATCTACTGCCCAAAAAAATGTGCTGCACATGCGTGCAGAAACTCTTGTATTTTACAAGACAAAATGCCCGACCCCCGTTGCGACCCCGCTCCATCTAGTGCAAAAAATAGCATTCGCTGAGCATGCGTGCAGAATCTCTTGTATTTTACACAACAAAGTGCCCGGTCCCCGTTGCGACCCCGTCCTGTAAACCGGCTCCATCTACTGCACAAAATAGCACTGGCTGCGCATGCGCGCATGTGTCTGTTACTCCTTCCTATCCCAGGCCTATCCCGCCACCGGACTATAGCATGGCATAGCACATCATGGGTCCCCAAAAGTAGGCTCCTCCCGCCGGACCCGACCCGTCCCGTCCGTTGGGGTCCGCCTGCCCGACTCTTCCCGCCCGTTAGAGCACTCGCGTGCCAACTGGATCGCACATCCGTCGTCGCCGTCGTCGTCGTCGTCGTCGACGTTGTATTCGATGTGGTTATAACGCGGGGAGAGATGATCTTTATGGTGGGGTGGCTTGCGGGTGGGAGTGACGGCCACCGCAGGTGGGTTCGCGGTCAAGGTGTACTCGTGGCCACGCCTGGTAGACCCTAAACCCTAAACCCTCAGCACCAGCATCATCGTCATGATCGTCATCATCATCAGCATCAGCATCGTCATCATCAGCATCGGAATCATCACCATCATCAGCATCATGGTCATCATCATCATTATCAACATCAGCAGCCTCGTCATCATCATCATGACCATCAGCATCGGCAGCATCAGCATTGGCAGCATCAGCATCATCATCATCATCATCAGCATCGCCATCGGCATCAACATCATCATCAGCAGCATCTTCAGCAGCATTCATCATCAGCAGCACCATCAGCATCAGCATCAGCCTCAGCATCAGAATAACCAGCAGCATCATCGTCATCATCATCATCATCATCATCATCATCATCATCATCATCATCATCATCATCATCATCATCATCATCATCATCATCATCATCATCATCATCATCCCCCCCTTCCCCCCTCCCCACTCGAACCCTCCTCCTCCCATCCTGCTTCTTCCCCCCCTATCATCCCCCGTTGTCATCCTCCTCCTCCTCTTCCACGTCCATCCCTGAACCTCCGCCCTGACCACCCTCTACGTCCCCGCCGCCCACTGGAGCTCCCCTCCTTCAGGAGCTTCTGGTCGGTGACCGTCTCCATGGTGTCGCTCAGGTCGAGCTTGAACCTGCCAGCGGGCCAAGTGGAGGATCGCCCACTAGAGAGGGAGGAGGGTGGACAAGGAGGAAGATGAGAAACGGGGAGGGGGGGATGAGGGGGAAGTGAAGATGGCATGGATGGAGGAGGAGGGAGAGGAGGAGGAGGAGGAGGAGGAGGAGGAGGAGGAGGAGGAGGAGGAGGTGGAGGAGGAGGAGGAGGAGGAGGAGTCAGGAGCCCGGAGGAGAGGAGGAAGAGGAGGGGGATGAGGAAGGAGAGGGAAGGAGGAAGAATAGTGGGGGAGGGTGATGAGAGTGAGGAGGGAGGAGAGAGGAGAGGGGAGAAGGGAGCGAGGGAGGGAGTAGGAGGACCCTCCCTTCCGACGGCGCATTTCCTCGCGACGTGGCCCCCGGGGACCTCGACGCCTTCCCCCGTGCCAGCCTCTCCTCCCGAGTCCCCTGTGAACGTTGACGGTCTCGGGGCTCGGATGTGAGAAGGGAGAGGGCCCGAGCCTCTTGATGAGGGACAGGTCGTCGGCCAGCCTGCGCTTCTGCGCCTTGATCTCCTCCTGCAGGGCCCGCTGCTTCATCTGGGGAAGGCGTGGGCGCGCGCTCTGAGAACCATCGTCGTCGCCCTCTCCGTCGTCGTCTTCCTCGAGTCCGTCGTCCGTGCCGCGCTCGTCGTCCTCTGCGCCGTGTCCGTCTGGGGACCCACCCGCCGCGGCCCGGACGGCCAGAAATGCCCGGAACCGGAAAATCCACTCATGAAGACGTCTCTCCTCCGTTCTGGAGCTCTCGTTCCTACTCTCCTGAAGTGTTCTGCAGCTTCTTGGGCAACCTGTCCCACCCTGTCCCTCCTGTTCCTCCTCCTCCTCTTCCTCCTCCTGCTCCTCCTCCTGCTATTCCTGCTCCTCCTCCTCCTCCTCCTCCTCCTCCTCCTCCTCCTCCTCCTCCTCTTCCTCCATGCCCTTCCTGCGACCTCTTTTCCATCCCCCTCCTCCTCCTCCTCCTCATCCTCCTCCTCCTCCTCCTCCTCCTCCTCCTCATCCTCCTGCCCTTCCCCCTCCTCCTCCTTCCTCGTCCCCGCCTCCTCCTCCCCCACCCCCAATGCCGCTCCAGCTGGCGGCTTCCTCTCCGCCTCACCCCTCCCGCACCTGTCCCCCGCCATCTCCCTTCCCTCCTCCCCGCTCCCTCCGCTCCCTCGGCCCGCATTCCCTCTACCTCCCTCCCCCTTCCCTTCGTCCATCCCACCTCGTTCCCTGCCTTCCCCAACCCATGCCTCTACTACGCCCCCTTCACCATCCCTTCTTCCCCCCTCCCGTCCTTCACTTGCCCTGAGTCGTGTGCGTAAACAGCTTGGTTCGAGTTGCTGCAGCCTGTAGCTGGGAGATCTCTAGCTCCCGCTGCTTGTTCTTTCGCATGTAGTCGCCTCAGGTTGGCGCAACCCGTGCAATACCACCATCACTCACAAACCGCTCATCGTCATCAAAATCCCTCATCACCACCACCACCACCACCACCACAACCATCATCATCATCACCACCAGCATCACTACTCAACAAATCGCTGAGCATGCAAAACATCGTCACGATCAGCATCACCACCACTATAACTCGTCAAGACGATTGTTATGACAGTCGTCACCAGCAGCATCATCAGCATCAGCCTCATCATCGTCATCGAAAGAAGCAGCCTCAGTATCGCCATCGTCAAACAAAACCGCTGTCGATTAATATTGTGGATGTCATGACAATCGACACTCTGACAATCCTATCATTGAATTAAAGATATGTGTAGAATGTGTAAAACATGTTCTAAAAATGTTTGGGAGAACGCGTTTCACGGGCGCTTGCCTGGGGAACATTCGGCGGCGCGTTTCGAACCGGGGGTGCCCCCCCCCCCCCAACACTCGGCGCCGTCGATCAAAACCAGGGGGACTCCCCTCCCCCCCAAACCCCCCGCTCCCGAACAACCCCCCCCTCCCAAAGGGGGGGCGGCTTCAACCCCCCACCCCCCCCTCCCAAGGGAGAGGGGGGGGGGTTCAACCCCCCCCACTCGGCACCGGCGCCGGCGCTGGCGGCGGCCAGCAGCGCCCACGGCGGGAACGCAGCGACGCAGCTGCGTTCCCGGCGCAAGGGGGGGGGTTGAAACCACCCCCCAACCACGACCACCACCTCAATCCACCACTACCACCACCAACAGCACCACACAACCACCACCAACACCACAGCCACCACCACCACTACAACCACCACCACAACTTGAACCCCCCCAACCACCACCACCGCCTCAACCCACCACTACCACCAACAACAGCACCACACAACCACCACCACCACCACAACCACCACCACAACTTAAACCCCCCCAACCACCACCACCGCCTCAACCCACCATTACCACCAACAACAGCACCACACAACCACCACCACCACCACCACAGCCACCACCACCACCACAACCACCACCACAACTCACCATCACCACCACCACAACCACAAAAACCCACCACCACTACCACCACCACCACAACCTACCACACCACCACAAACACCGCCACAACCACCACCACGACCAGCAGCACAACCCAGCGCCACCACCACAAACCACCACACCACCACCACCACCACCACCACCGCCACCACCACCACCACCCCAACAAACGTCCACAAACCACCGCCACCACCACAACCCACCACAACCACCAGCACCACAAACCACCACCACACCACCACCACAGCACCACAACCACCACCACCACAACTCACCATCACCACCACCACCACCACCACAAAAACCCACTTCCACTACCACCACCACCACCACAATCTACAAACACCACCACCACCGCCACAACCACTACCACTACCAGCAGCACAACCCACCACCACCACCACTACCACCACAAACCACCGCCACCACCACCACCACCACCACCAAACCAACGCCACCACCACAACACACCACCGCCACCACCACTACCCCACCACCACCCACTACCACCACCACCACCACACCACCACCACCACCACCACCACCACCACCACCCCCACCACCACCAGCACCAGCACCAGCACCACCTCCACAAACCACCGCCACAACCACAACCCACCACCACCAACAACCACCACTACCACCACCACTAAACCAGCACCACCACCACCACTACAACCCACCATCACCACCACAAACCACAACTACACCACCACCAAACCAGCACCAGTACCACCACCACCACCACCCACCGCCACAACCACCACCACCACCACCACAACAAACCACCACCCCGCCACCACCACCACAACCACCACCCACCGCCACAACCACCACCACCACCACCACCACCACCACCACAACAAACCACCACCCCGCCACCACCACCACAACCACCACCACCGCCACCACCACCACCACCACAACCCACCATCACCACCACCACCGTCGTCCTCGTCGACGGTCCCCGCCACCGCCTCCCGCCGCCGAAGGGGCTGGCGCCAGCTCAGAAATGGAAATCGTCGCCCCCGCCGCCGTCGCCGCCGTCGACGCAAGCGCCTGCCCGAGGAGAGGGGAAGCAGGGGAGGGGGAGGGCGTTCGAACCCCCTCGCGGTCACGGAAACGAGGGGGGGGCTCGAACCACCCCCCCCATCCATCCAGGGGGGGTGGGGGGTGTGGTTTCAACCCCTCCTCCAAGCGACCACAGAACGAGTTCTTTCAAACGTTTCCAACATGCGTTTAACATGGTTAAAACAAATTCGAAACATAATTTTAGACATCTGGAAATTATTTGGCAGAACGTTTCCTCTCCATTGGTCGACTTCCACAACCTTTACAGCCATCGACCTTACTTGCTCGCGTGCCACTCAGCACGCGTACCCCCAAGACATCGCCACCCGCCCTGGTCATCTTCAATCCTACCCCCCTGGGCGAGTCATTTCCTCGCAAGGGGCAGGCGGGCGGACCCTGCCCAGCGGTCGGAACGCATCTGGCGGACCCTGAAGTGAGCAGCAGGGCCGGGCGGGCGGGCCCCGACGCGGGCGGTCGGACCGGGAGAGGAGGGGAGGGAGGGAGGTGGAAAAGAAGCTAGGAGGGAGGACTGAGGGCGCGCAGGCGGGCGGGCGGGCGGGCAAGAGGAGGGGAGGAGGAGGCGGAGGAGGGGGAGGATAAGGATAAGGATAAGGACAAGGCCCTCGGAGGTCAACGATCTCAAGCCTCTTGTGAAACTTGGGAGGGCCCCTGGGAATCATATGAAAGCAAGCCCCTCTAGTCCGACCTTCGTCGGTCCGAGGCACTGCCTGGGGCGAGGCGACACGGGGGGCTGCCAACGCGGGCCCCACGCGTCACTGCCCCGCCGCAGGAGCCCCTGCACCACCCACATTGAACACGCGGGGAAGACAGGAGCCCGCCGCTGCTCGCTGGCCGGCGGCAAGCTCTGATAGGGCCCCCACTCCTCCCCCCTCCCCCCCACCCACCCCCCTTGCAACAAGGCGAAAAAAAGAAAGCGGCCTGGTACTTGTTCATCGAGCCCGCTCTCTCTCTCTCTCTCTTTCTCTCTCTCTCTCTCTCTCTCTCTCTCTCTCTCTCTCTCTCTCTCTCTCTCTCTCTCTCTCTATATATATATATATATATATATATCGATATCTCTACTGCTGCGAGCATATGAAATTGCCGCATCTCACTGGCCGCGGCTGAAAAAGGCTAAGAATGCTGCATCAAGAAAAGATTGTCAAGGAGTTGGTTGCGATCTCTGCGCGCACGCCCCCCCCTCTAGCTCTGAGACGCCGAGCCCCCCTCCTGCCTTAGTGGCGACTGCCTCGTTCGTGAACATGGTATCTCCGTTCACCCCGTTGGTGGTCGGCGCCTCCATCAACGCGTAGTGGGTCGTCAACCCCTGCGCTGACGCCGACGGCTTAAAGCACTCTGCGCGCCTCTGGTGGGCGGCTGCTCCCGTCGGCGTCAGAGGCACGGGATACTGCTTCTCGTCAGCATTGTCGCCGCGCTTGCTCTTCGACCATTTCGTATAGCAGCCTTCCAACTCGTCGTTCTGCTTGCGGCCGTAGTCCGTTTCCCATGGGAAGGGGCCCTTCGTGAGCCTCGAAGTATCTTCCACGCAGCCCTTCCACTCAGTGGCGATCTGGATCGCGTGCTCGATCTTCTGCAGCTGGTGTGTCATGATCTCGACGCCTTGGACTCGCTCCATCTCCTCATACACGTTCTCGCTGCGAGAGCACTTCAGTCGTCCGAGACTGGTGGTGAGCCGCTCCTGCTGACGCTGGAGCACGACGATCGTCGTCTGGACGGGGTCGCTGCACTGCTTGAAGATATTGCCGGTGGCTTGCATGCTGGAGTGCGCATTGTTGAGGCGATGCTCCATGCTGCCGACTACCTGCTCGCCCTGTCCTCCACGGTACTGAGGGCGCTGCACAAGAACTGGTGGAGGAGGTGGGTGCTGCATCCGCTGCTTCTGGAACTGCTGGATCTCGCTCTCCTCCGCGCCGACCGTGTTCGCGCCTTCCATCTGCCGGTTGCCCGTCGGGCTGTCCATGGCCGTTGGAGGCGGCCTCTCGGCGCGTCGCTGCCCCGGGTCGGCTCTGCGACGTTGGAGCCGAAAGAGCTGCGTGAAAGGACCGCAGTGGCGATCGTGGTCGCGGTTTCCTTAGTGACCTTAGTTGGCTCAATTCTTTGGTTTGTCGCAGTAGTTTCCTTAGTCTGACTGTCTGCCATAGCGCAGTGCTCGCATTGCACATTCACTAACCACAGTCCACCATAGATGGTCGCACATAGTAGCGTCGCCCGTGACTGTACTACCTGTCCCATGGGCCTCTGGGGGCAGTAGGTGTCTGCGCGAGCCTCTGCCTTAGTCGCGCGTGGGAGTGGGTCGGGAAGAGGGGCGGGAATTGGCTCTCGTCCAATGGCAGGGGGGGTGTAGTAGAAGCCCCCCCTCCCCGTTGGTCACTGCATCACTGCATACTAGTCCCTAGTACGCACGTCCCTGTACCAGTTGGCCTTGCGTTCCAGGCTACCTATGAACCCACCGCGTTGCTGTGCCAAGTCCCGATCGTTGTCGCCCATCGCCTCCTCGCTCTGGTTGGGCGGCTGCACCTTGAACTGCTTGAAGATTTCGGCCATGACTTCCATCCCCGACGCGCCGCTCAGCGTCGTCGGGAACTCCTTCAGCGCGGCCAGGACTGGCGTCATATGTTCTGGAACGGGGGGTTGCTTCGTCGCTCATCTTCTCGATCCGGCCTTTCACAAAACGCGCTGCAACGCGCGCGTGCGGTGGTCCTAGTTTGCGGCCCTTGCCGTGCTCTTTGGCCACGCGCCCGCATTCGCGCCCCGTCGCGAAGCTGGACTGGACGGCGTCGCTCGCGAGGCAGACAAGCCAGAGGTCGCCCACGTTGTTGCTCAATTCCCTGATCGCCGCGCTTTTCTGGAGGGTTAGCATATGGGGGGGGTTCATCTCGTCTCTGTACTCCGCTGTCAATCCGCCGCCCCCTCCTCCTCCGCCTGGGGGGCCGCTGCCGTTGCCGCCCTTGCCCTGCCCTGAGTTCGCCGCCGCGGTACCTCGGACTGCTGCTCCTTGGTCTGGCCCCCCTGCCCCTCGCCCCCCCTCGATCCGCCACATCATGCCCTGGTCTCCCATGGCGGAAAGCAGTGTGGATGGCATGTGATGCTTCGCCTCTGGGCTCTCGGATCTGATCTGGCCCTGCGAGGTGGCCCCTGATGCGCTGCTGGAACTCCGCAAGTGTTCGAGCCTCACGCTTACATATTCGACATATAAGTGCGTTGGGCCCCTGCGCTTCGCGGGACCATCTGGAGCGATCGTTGCGACATATGCCGCGATGATGCACCGCTCGTGCGCAGTGGTCCACCTCTCTACGTCGGTTGGCAAACGTGTTGCAGCACCATGGGCAATGGTTAGCGACGATTACGGACGCCACCAGCTGTCGCACGTCGTGCGCCCCTCGGCGGGGGGGGGGGGGGGCGAAGTCGCTGGTGTACGTTTGTACGTGAGGTTCGGTCGCTCAAAATCCGAACCTCGACCCACCGGCCTAGGACGAGGAGGAGGAGGAGAGGAGGAGGAGGGAGGGAAGAGGGCCGTCGGACGTGGGCGGACCCTAACACGGGCGACGTCGCATCGGGATGGGCGGACCCGAACTCGGGCGGCCTGGTCGGGTCGGGTTAGGATCGGGTTGTAGGACGAGCCTGCCTCGGGCGGGCGGGTCCGAGCCTGTTGGGAGGTCGGGTCGGGAGCGGGAATGTCGGAGAAGGAGGCGTCAGAGCAGGGAGGAGGGAGGAAGGAGAAGGGAGGGGATGGAGGGAGGAGATGGAGGGCAGGGGGGGAGAAGGGAGGAGGCAGGGACGTGGAGGAGGGGGCACAATCCCTGAGACACCCAAGAAGATTGGGCTCGAGTGTTCAGCACCCGCTCATGCTTGTCATCGCTGGAGAATAGGCTGCTCGGGAGACCAAGAATGCGGGGTCCGACGTGCAAACCGCACGAAACCGTTGAACAAATTGTGGTGCCCGTGGTAGGTTGGCGGGTCGGGACTGGGAGGGCC